CCTTTGAAGGTTTTGTGTTTGAACTAAAGAAATTAACATTTTGGTACTTCAAATTTCAAATAACCGATGATCTAATAATTTTTAGAGAAAAAGAAATATGCATAAACATATGCAAAAAAATATACTGAATTAATATTAAATTTCTTTATAAGGAATGAGTTAAAGGGTAACCAAAAATATATGTCACCAACAACTAAATTGTGTACTTATTTTGTGTATAAATTTCACATGAATAAATTCTGAATTTTTAAACAACACAAACACTTAAAGTGAAAGAGATCAAATTATAAAACAAAATAGAGAGTGTATAAATCGCAACAATAAAATGTGAATGATAAAACAAAAGATATTATATAAATTGAAAAACAAAAAACTTTGAAATGATATGAAATTTTCAGTTTAAAGTTAAAGATATGCATAACCATATCAAATGAACAAAAAAACTATAAGCATATTTTGTCAACATAGTTATAAAATATCACAAAGAAAATAAGAATCTTTTACCTATGATGGTGTTGGTAATTTTCAATATTATTTTTTTTTTTGTCGAAAATGAATATTTACACATTAAAAATAATAATAATATATTTGCTATTAAGATCTAATGGTGTTTAAGGTTTGACGAGTATAGATCTCTATTAGAAAGAAGCCAATGATATCAATGGTATACATTTATCAATCATGGATTTATATGTGATGCTTGATAAAACTATTTATAAAATATTATATAGGTTTTTATGAGATTATTCACATGGTTTTTTTATTTAACTTTATAGTATTTTAATTGTTTTAAGATTTTATTAAATAATTAAGATATATTCATAATGTGTAAGAATATTTTTCATTTATTTATATATATGGATTTGCATGATATGAATTAAGCCGTGAGAATTAAGATATTAAATAATCTCTAATGATTTAAAACTCATGTTTAAATAATACTTCAAAATATGTTTGTAATTTAAAGGATTGCTAACTAATACTTAAATATTTATGATGTGATTATCTGCGTATCAACGTGTGTCCTAATCTAGTTATTTATAAATGATAACCCTAACTATATCATTATATATTATAGAGTCAACCATGAATATGTATCGATGAAAAAATAAAACTTCAGCTTTTCTTTTTATGGACTAGCTAACTAATAATTTAATCATGTGTGGGTTTGGAAATAGTGGCGAGTTTTCAGGTTCTCTAATGTGTTTTCGAGTCATTTATTTTTATTTCTGTTTGAGAGGAAACAAAATATTTTTCGACCAAGAGATGTTTGGATTTTAGCCCTAATTTTCTTGATTTTTTTTTTGGTTAAGCTAAATGAAACTTGGGCCTCAAAAAATTATTTTCCTGGGCTGTCCAAAGCTAGATGAAACTTGGGCTTTCACAAACGATTTTTTTCCTTTCTTGCAAGGCATATCACATATTAAGAAAAAAAAACTAAATTCAAAATAGGAAAATTGGGTTG